ATGGCGTCTAAGTCGCGTTTTATCCTAAATTGGGATAATTATAGTAAAAATATTATTTTTATGATTTAGTTAGAGACATATGTCAGATGGCAGTGAAGGAAAACAAAACAAAAGTATTTAAGTGTGGAGGATGTTTGAAGATCATAAATATTGAAACACTTTAACCGACTCTGTAACTCGTTACCCAAGGCAAAAAAGTTAAACGCAAACAACTTTATTGATAAATGTATTGTTTCTACTTTGAAAAATACTAATGGGCCTTAAAATTAAAGAAGTTTTAAAAATTTTCTTGAATTTTTTTTTACTAAAATGAGAATAATTTATTCGCAGACGAAAAAATTGTTTCCACGTGTTTTTTAGGGTCAAATATTTCAAGTTAATGTATTCAAAAAGCAGGAATTGCTATTTTAGGAACGAAACATTTTCTTATTTAACAACATGGCGGCTTTCACTGTGTTGTTTTGGAGATTAAGATGGAGTAGTTCGAGTAGTAGCATACCTGGACTAATAAAGTCGCAGTTCGGCCTTAACAGGTAGTTGCAAAAAGGTAGTGACTCGACGTCCTACCAACGTAAGAATAAGGAAATCTAAACAACGTTGGAATTAGTAAAACAGACGACGTTTGCATAACGTTGGAATAAGTACTGAAACTGACGTCGGAAAACTCTATATTGTCCAACGTTGTAACTACGTTGTCCGAATCACCTAAAGATCACTTAAGCAAAAAAGGTTACAAGACAACGTTTATTCGACGTCGCAGAAGCTTCTACTTTGCTGTAGTACTAATCCAACGTCGGCACAACGTTATAAAAACGTTTAAATTTATTTTAATACCCAAGGTAGGGAGCTAACTATTTTTTGTAACTAATCCAACGTTGTGTTTAGTAAACATGTGGTCGCAAGTCGTGAAAATGCTACTTGGGTTAAGGAACCTCTTGAATTTGATACTCCTAGAACCGGTTTTTAACAAATTCTTGTGCAAAATTTCAACCTTACTTTCACCCTATTAGGCATGAATTTGTAAAAATCGCTTTTTAGTGCCCACTGTCAGTTAAAAATCCTTTGTGCAAAATCTTTCACCCTAATTTTACCCCCTTAGGGTATGAATTTTCAAAAATCGCTTCTTACTCAATTACGTCACATATGGAACCTCTATGAAAAATTTCATACTCCTACCATCTGATTTTCAGAAATTCTTGTACAACTTTTTCATCTTTAATTTCAACAACCCTGCATAATTTCCTCAAAAATGGTTTGTGTACACTATTACGTCACGTAAGGAATATTTGTGCAAACTACTAGAACAGGTTTTAAATTTTTGTGTGAACATCATCAATCGTCATTTCCAAGCCAACTTAAGGCCGTTTTTTTTTCACTCATGCGGTATCTTTGATCGAAGTTTATAGGATCCTAAATACGGTATATCGCTATTAAAAATATCACTGCCAAGTAGATAAAAGTTCAAGATATTTTGTGATGAATAACATGAAGGCCCAGCTGTATGATTGCAACGAGTGAAATCATTGGATAATTACTATATTCATATGCCGTCTATTAACCTTTGACCTTTGTTATTAACATTAATTTTGGCAAAGTATAATATATTTTGCGATAAAAAATACTTATCTACTTATAACGGAATATAATATGAAGGATATTTTTTATTAGATTTGTTTATTTCAAATTATCGAGTATATTAACGATGTTTATATTTTTCCCATTGTATTAAATATTTCAATTACCGGCATGCTAAGGTCGTTTTTCTATTTAATGAACTCAATTAGAGTAATTGTAAGGTTAATCTTTAACAAATAATTATTGTAAAGTATTGAAACTCATATTTTGTATTGTAAACAACGTCATTAAGGTTAACCGTTAATTAAGCCTGTAGGAACATTTTTTTAATAATCCTGGTGTTTACCTAGTCAATAATCCTGGTGTCTACCTAGTGTCTACAAGAACAACCGGATTAAAAATTGAAAAAGAGAAGAACTTTTAGGTGTTCCTGTCAAAAATGCTGAAATAAATAGAATTAAAACCGATTCGCTTTAGGGAATATTTACCCTGAGAAGTCCCTCAATAAAAGTTTGCTGAATTGCAGGCCAGATTCATTGCTGTCCCAGCGTGAGGAAGTTACTACCTCCCTATCTCGACCATTCCAGACCTAAAGGGAACATCAGAAAATATCTGGTGAATAGCCAAACAGTAGCCTGAACAAAAACAAGGTCGGAAACATCAAGACAAGAGAAAGAGTGCATCTACCAAGTCGAGTAAGAAAAGACCACGCGCGTCATACCAACAACCGACCGCCTCCTCTCTTGAGTCTCATGGACGCGCCAGTGCAAGAAAGATAGACGATGATAGGTGATCACGCTCGTGGTCTTTTCTTAGCTGGTTTTTACTCTACTTTGTGAATTCCAGGAGTCGTATATCAGAGAGACAAAACTTGTTCTAAATGTGCTAATTAACGACAGCTTCACAAAAAAGGTATACAAAACAAGGACCATACACCACAACTTAAAATGGTCGGAAGCCCGGGTTGTCCACAAGGAACCTCCACATTGCATAAGCGCGAATTTAAAAAAAAAATGTTTGTAGACCAAACAATAATGATAACTTTAGCATTCCAAGTATCGAAATTTTCTCAATATGACAAAATTTAACCTCACGCTTGACTGCACCTAATTTCCTTCCGGGTGAATGTATTGCTCTACTGTTGTCAAAAAGCTCTTGCCTAGAATATAGAATATTTAGGAGGGGGGATAATCACCGCGACCTTACAGATCTATTGCGTGTTTGTTTCTTTTGTAACCCTTTCTTAAATTATAACGAGTTATACCTCATTATACAGTCTCAGGGCTTTAACCAGAGCCAGTATCTGAGACGGCTCCACAGAGGCCAGCTCTCCATCCTTGACATCAGCCGTGCCAAAGTTCATGGCACGAACGGTCGTCGCGTGGTCTCGGCGCACTCAGTGATAAGGTGTTCTGGTGATTCCCCATTTTCCCCACAGAATCTGCATTCGCCGTTGTTTCTCAGCTTCAGCCTACTGAGGTGTTCGTTGAGGAGACAGTGCCCTGTTAGAAACCCCGTGACAATCCGAAGACTGTTTTACTTAATTCAAGGAAAATCTTTGATTCTTTTCGGCCGTAAGTTCTGAGGAACTTTTTCGAGTGTCTTAGCCCGTTAGAGGACTCTCATTCCAGGTTAAGGATGGAGTCCTCCAGGTTCTTCAGTTCCGCTTTTAGTTGGTTTCCGCTTGGCAAAAGCATGCTTCTAGAAAGAATGACTGCTGCAGCATACACTATTAAAAATAAGCTGGATGAGATGGGCATAGAGTTAGCTACCAATAAATACTGAAATGGTCATTTTGACGGGAATACAGAAGATAAAGGAGATAGAATTTAGCTGGTGCAATACCAATATTAAAAGCACAATAGCAGTAAAATACATGGGAGTTTGATTAGATAAAGAGACACGGATGACCACCCATATCCGAAAACTCCAAGAAAAAACAGAGGCAATCATAAAGCAGCTAACTAGAGTTATGCCTAATCTCAGGGACCGGTGGCAGAAAAGAGGAGAGCACTGGCCTCGGTGGTGTCGTCCACGATTCTGTATGCGTCTCCCATAAGGGAGAGAGCTCTAAAATACAAACTCTACGAAAATATCTTAGAGTCCATAAATCGTAAAATAGCACTGAGTAACATCTGCATATAGAACATCTCCAACTAACGCCATTCTGGTCCTAGCTGGTATCCCACCGATAAAGCTCCAAACAGAACAAAGCAGTCTAGTGTCGGCCCTAGAGGCGTTTCCCATCTATAAAAAAAATGGTTTCCGCTTGGAAAGCAGAACGGTTCTGATCCAGTTAGTGGAGTGTTCGCTCCTTTTCTAGCTAGATCATTTGGTTTTTCATTGCCTTCTATCTCTTGCTGAGCGGGCACCCAGAGTAAGAAGACTTTAATTACTCTCCAAAATCTACCCATTTAATTTATTAATTTTATTTATAGATGTTGGATTCTATCCCTTCCTCCCATCCTTTACCCTAAAAAAACCTAAGTGGGTACGTACTCAACTAGAAGGTAGGAGACAAGATCGGCCGAGTACGCAGTGTGTACACCACGAGCGCGCGCTATTCTACAGTGTTTTTATTACCAAAATCACCAAGTACAAGTCCAGAACGGGAATAAAGGTGAGTGCCCACTATCCCTATACAACAACTCACCCTTTCAACCGAGCCCCTATAATTTCTCGTCCGTAACAATAGACATTATTAAAAACTTGCCTGAGACAAACTGAAAATCTTTCGTTAACACCAATTGCGCAGTGAAATCTAGAATTTTGACGCTTTATAGTTGATATTAACAAAGAAAAAAATTCAGCAAATTTTTCGTGGGTCATATTATAATACCTAAAAAAAATCCGTCTTCCAAAAAATCTGAGTGAAAGTGATGAAATTCTCCGTACGCATTTCTTTTTATATTAATGTTTATGAATCAAAGATTTTCTTTTTTTGTTCTCACGCATTTCTTCTTCTTCAGCTATTGTACATAAAATAAATCAAATCTGTCAAATGCTTGGCCTGCCAAAGACTTGGTCTGGCCCACAAATGCAAAGATTTCATCCGAAGGTCAGATCTTCTGGTGTATGGAAGACTATTAATACATGATTGTCAATTCAACCCATCTCAGATCAACAATTTGACAGACTCTCAAAATGTTGTCATTATAGTTAGATTTTGACTAACCAACAAGAAACTCTTGAAGATCGCAGATCGCCACAAAAGTACTTCCATTAGTTACTTGACTGACCTAAACTGCTTTACATTGATTATACCAAAAATCTACAAATACTAGTAATATTTCATAAAAATAAGTGTAAAAACTAAAATTCGTTGTACCCATCTCTAAACCACCATTTCAAAACACTGTAATTTTTTTTGCAAACTTTGCGCTTTATAAAACATGGATCGTGGTCAAAAATCAAACAAAATAATAAACATTGGCAATATTATTATCTTTATTTACATTTTATTCTCTTAAATACTTTTGCGCCCATATTTATATTGCAACTTCAACTGACCTACTTGGGTACTAGCGCAGATATTAGGCAACCACTCTATAACAAACGCATTGTTTTGATCATCGCTTTCGTCCACTGTAGACGGTCCAACGTTCAAAAAGAACAAAAATGAAAAACAATACTCCACGTTCGCTTCCTCATCAGCCTTACTCTCGTCATATTCCACGTAGCCATTTTGTTTATCGGGAACCAGTTTTTTCGCGATACGTACTTTAACCTAAAAAAGTGTCTTATGATATGTTATTACATGTATAGGGTGTACCAAATTCGAGAGTAACCATTGTAATCTCAAAAATATAAAAGATACAACAGCAAAAAATGTTAATAATATAATTTTATATAACAAAAAAAATAATATAATATTTCATTACAATTTCTTAAATTACATTAGATGATAACAATGTTTCTCTTTTATTAAAAAGATCGATTGATTTTATTAAAAATATTGATTTATTGATCAAAATTTTGGGACCATCAACAATGACAGTAATGACACTGGATTACTTATTTGCTGTATCTCTAAGAATTTAATATAATATGGTATCACAATGATTGTTCTAGAATTTATGATAGGTTCATTGTACAGAGTGACTATTTTCAGATGCCCAGACCCAGACAGAATTAAAGCACAAGCCTTTCCTATTGTTTTCATGGAAATGCGAAAGGGTAACTAAATTAGTAACCAAATCTGACGCAAAAAAATTGCGTCACACTGTCACATCTCACAGATATAATACCCCAGATTATTCAATGTTTAGAACTATCATATAATAGGTATATTATAAAAAATAGCAGGCAAAATAATGTATTGTATAATATACAGGGTGGTCCGAACTGTATTCCGGTAACTTCGGCAGCATATTCTGTAGATAAAAATAAGTAAAAAAGTTCGTATAAATGTATGTCCTAAATTGCTTAGTTTCGGAGATACATGGTGTAGAAGTTTCATTTTTATTTCGATTTTTTCGAAATAATTTCTGAAGTAACGTCAATATTTGGATGAAAATTGGTGTCTGACAGTTTTGTGGCATGAGAGATTTGATTTTGATGTCAGTATGACTCCTACTCGTAGAGGGCGCCACCAACATTTTTTTTTACTGGGTTGAAAGTAATTACTTTTCGTCCGTACCTGCATAAAATTACTGGGTAAAAAAATATACATTTACGACGTTTCTTGCGTAAAAAAAGGTCTCTTGGTAAAAATCGCTACGAATAATAGTTCTCGAGATATTTGGAATTGAAATTATCAATACGTGTCGTCATTGACATAAACATGTTGATTAAATAGTTATTAGACTGTAAATAGGGAATGCAATCCCGCAAATGCTGGATCCCGTAAATGCGGGATCTTTCTGAGATTCCGCGGGATCAAAGTTGCGGGATTTACCGTGCGGGATCCGCGGGATTGATCCATTACTACTGGGTAACCGAATCGATCTCGATTAGGGTCAAACCGTTTCGTTCCGGGCCGATGCGTCGACGGTCGGAACCCGGGGGATTCCCCTTACGGCTTGGCCATTAAAAATAAGTGAAACAAACAGGTTACTTCTTAGATTTCTTTCTGGCGTATGTGCGTAAGTGAAGAAAAGCGTTTAACTAGTACCTGTGGACAATTTCGTCAAATAAACTGCATGTAACATGGACACATGTAATTATCGGGACAAGCAAAATTTTGGGGTAAATTTAGGTTTTAATGGGGTAAATTTAGGTAAGTTGAATAGGTATATCTTGAACTAAAAAAGATTTTGGGATGCGGTTTGGACCAGGTCTTAGATGCATCTATTGTGATTAAGATGCTACATATATAGTTTTCGAAAATATATTTAGCGAATTCTCGTATAAAGGGTCTTTTATAAGAGTGTGAAAATTTGGTCAAGGATCTTTTTAACCGCAAATTTACAATTTTTAAAAAATCGAAATTTTACCAAGTACGACTAATCTGTATTGAAATTAGAAAAAGCAATTTGATAGGTTTTTTAATTTTTTGTTTTAAGGAAAATTCGACGTTATTTTAAATATGCATTAGGCATACGTATGGTCCTAAATGGACAAAAAGCTTTGTACATTCTGCATATGCCAAAAAATGGTTGATATAGAGTGTATCTAAAAGCAGATAACCAACACAAGTTAAAAAAACTTCAACATCAGAATAATATTTTTATTTATAAAATTAGTATGTAAATTATAATAAAATTTAAGTTTATTTAATATTAAATATTTTTTGAACACCCTGTATACATCGGTCCAAATTTCTGTACAGCTAGTTTAAGATACACGCTATATCAATATATTGTGGGCCTATGCAAAATGTACAATGCCTTTTGTACCATGTAGGACCAAATGTATGACTATTGTTTACAGTCCCGCAATTTTGCGGATCCGCGGGATTGACTGCTTTAATCCCGCGGGTTTGCGGGATTGAGATTTTGGTGCGGGATTGCATTCCCTACCTGTAAACATAAATTTGAAATGTTTTTGTACCAAAAGATCAACAGAAACTGTTTTACCATCATTTTTTCGAAGAAATATTTATGATTATTTACTCGATTTTTGATACGATACTATACTATTATGATACTCGATTTTTGTCAATAATGATATGTATTGACTATTTCTATTCTAAATATCTTGAGAACGGTTGCTCGTAGCGATTTTTACCAAGAAATGTTTTTTTCGTAGAAAATCACGGAAATGTATATTTTTCACCTAGTAGTTTTATACAGGTATGGACGAATAGTTATTACTCTTCAAAACAGTTAAAACACATGTAGATGGTGCCCCCTACAAATAGGAGTCATATTAACATCAAAATCAAATTTCTCATGTCAAAAAACTCCCAGACACCAATTTTTATTAAAATATTGACGATACTTCAAAAATTATTTGGAAAAAATCGAAATAAAAATTAAACTTTTACCTCCTGTTTACCATTTTACGACGTACATTTATACGAACTTTTTTACTTATTTTTATCTGCAGAATATGCTGCCGAAGTTTCCGGAATACAGTTCGGACCACCCTGTATAATTGTTAAAAGAGGAACAGAAACGTGTTACGATTGAAAAAAAACGTATTGTACGATTGAAAAAAAACGTATTGTACGATTGAAAAAAAAACGACGTCATAGTGACTTTTGACATGCCAACCGATATTTTGTTTCGGAGCGATCATAATAATTATCTCATCTATTAAAAACGTTAAAACAGAATAAAAAGAGTATCTAAATACATGTCTATTTTTAAAAATTAATTTTACTGAAGAGATTCTTGTGGAGATAATTTCCGTTTAATTTGAGTTTATTTAACTTTTTTCTATTTAAATGTTAACAAATGACTAATAGGAGTAGTCCTGAAAGAAATGATCATCGATTGATACTTTAAAGGCTACTTTGACACGTTTTTTCTTGATCGTATTGTACCGTGTGATTACAGATGAGGGATGGAACCTTTGGTGTTACAACAGCAAAATAAAACACTACAGTTTTAATCACCTTCTGATGATACTAACATGGTTAGCGAAACGTGCCCCCACTGCAAAAGTAAAGTGTTTTGGTGTATGAATTAGTGTTTTATTTTACAGTGTGATCAAATGTTTTATAATAAAATGACATTTAAATTTGGCAGTTAGGAAAATTAAAGTGTATTTTCTTATAAAATTAGTTTTCTGCCATCACACAAATCATGTTTTATCACAAAACTTTCTGATCATAACGCATTTATAAAATAATAAGATGCAATTTCCAAAATAATGCATATAACTGAATCAGATGCAGCAATGGGTGAATAAAGTTACTGTTTTCTGTAAGAGAAAGAAAATAAGGCATATAAAAAGAAAATATCACTCTGTACATTTTGTGATTAAAAATATTCACCTTGGGGGTGTCAAATATCTCCTTCACGTGATTAATGTTCATAATATTGTAAAATATGGAACCGATGTCGGTTTTATTTTCAATGTAAGAAGTGGGAATTCGTTTCTTCAAAGTCAGCCAAAAATCCTGGAAAATCGGTTTTTTAAAAACTCAAAAAGAGTTTATAAAATCAATAATAAATTATCAGCATAATGCAAAAATTGCACAAAAGCATACAAGTATTGTCGTTCGTTTCATGTAATTGAGTAAATAAAATAGCCTTTCATCATTAACTATAACATTGTGTAACATTATCATCAAAGCACTTTTTCTATAGAATAAGTCTATACTATAAAAAGTATGTATATACTTGTATCATCCTGGACACTTCATCTGCATAGTCTGTATTTTAATGCATGCGACAGAGATAATTATAAATCACCGGTTGACAGACAGAGAGACAAAATAAAAACCGGCATACAGTGTTGCCGGTTTTTACGTGAGTAGGGGGAAACGTATGAAGAAAAAAACTATTTTAAAAACTTTCCTGTATACAACTGAAATAAATATAATATCTCTAAGCTAAATATAATCTATTACAACTGTAGAAAAATGAGTAACTAATTGTGAAAAATAAAGTTCCAAACCTAGATGCAACATTTTTCATAAACGCCTACTTGTGCGGTTTGAATTTTTAAAGCAAAATTCGGCAATTCCGCATAGAAAAAATGTATCAACCCAACTTTTATCTCTTTTTAATACATTTGATTTTTCATTAATTTGTCTACATCACTGTCTTACGCGTTAAATCCAGACCACGCAGTTTCGATGACCAGATCGGTATGAAGTAATAACAATTTATCAAAAATATAAAAAAGAATACCAAACCAATGCAAACATTCAGAAATGTAGTAAAAATAGCCAAGCCTATTTAATTTTATTTTCTGGTGTCCTCTTTACAAACTTTTAGTATTAGTAAACGTTTAAAATTCCTATTTGTTTAAAATGCCTATAAATTAATCCTTTAAATATGTTACAATAAAATACAGGTAGTTGAATCTTCAAGAATAATTGGCTCATCCTGTATACATTAATAATACCCTATGATCGAAAAAACGGCGTCAAGTTGGCTTAGAAATGACCATAGATAATAGTCACCATATAATTTTACATATAAAATGACAGTGATCTTAATTCTAGGCCAACTCTGACGCCGTTTTTTTCGATTGTAAGGTATAAGAAAATTCGAAAATAGTTCTAATCTACGACTTACTTCTGGAATATAAAATATCTGCATATTAACAATACCACAGTTAATAAACTGCATGGTTCTGTTTATTGATTCAGTTACAAATGCTAGCCAATCGAGGAAGCCCCATGAGACCTCGGGTTCTTTGTTTTCTGTAGTAGGAAGTTCGTCCAACACTTTTATTTCTATAGGGAAGACTTTAGGAACGATTTTTTTACAACGCTGTATTATAAGTTTTTGATTTTTACATGATTTCTTTTTTTCCTAAAATAACCATAAATCAAAGTAACAAAGCTGTTTTAAATAAAGTAAAAAGCATTTCAAGGGTTTACATGTTTACAAAATTATTATTTGTTGTTATTATTTTTGATGACATGGTATTTTTTTACCATTATTTTATTATGATTACATGCGCTTTATAGCTGATATTAGTTGTGTATACAACCGGTAGATTAGTATGGAATATGGGAGTATCGGTATATATTCCTGAAGAACTCCAAGCACAAATTAACGAACTAAATACAGCCAGCAATAAAGTAGGTCTCAAAATTAATTTAGCAAAAACTAAAGTAATGTACTAACTAGTAGACTAAAAAGACATTCTAATAAAATAACACAACACTGGAAACAGTAAAAGAATCTACAGGGCGAGTTTCCTACGATATTCTCTATGGGTATCTCGGTAACTACTGGAGATAGAGAATCGGTTAAATGGAGAAAGAATCGCAGTGTTGTGGGGTCATAAATATGCGCCTTTCAGATTTTTGAAAAACTTCATGGCTTACTATATATTTCGAAAAAAAAGAAATTTTGGCTATTTTAAAAATTGTCCCTAATTCCATTATAATCTATTTCAGACAAAAAGTTTTCAGATAAAATTTGTACATAATCACATCCCTAATGAGTTTGTGTTCTCCGATTTTTTCTAAAGCCCGTCATTTTTGACATATGACACAAACATATATTTTTTTTAAATGGAAACCATAGTAGGCCATGACTTCATAAAAAGCGCCACTTTTCAGCGATATAAGCTATATGTTTTTGTGGAAAAATTACTCAGTTAAAAAATTCTTATCTTTCTTGACTAATTTCACTCAGTTGGCATGGTGTTCTTATTTTGTTATGATTTATAACTTATGAAAAGACAAAATATATTATTATATAAAGGCTCTTTACAATTTACATTCCACAAACTAAAACTAAAAAAAATAATACCACTACATACACTATAAGTTATTTTAGAAAATGTTCAAAAAATCCGTCATTGTTTTGAGTACATAAATGCATCTTTTTACAACTGAATTTCTAGCTATTCTCACAGAACGACCGGTCGACTTAATTAATCTTCTCTGTACCGCCTCTTCGAGTGCCTCTCTTAATTCATAAGTTCTTTTTACAAACCGTTTTATACATACCGCATAAAAACTAAAATGGATAGGTCAGATGATCGGGGGAGGCCCATGCAATTGATTTACCTCTTTCTATCCCTGGGTCTACATAATTATAGTACTGACATAAATAAATTAGCCTTTCTTTCCAATTGGGGTTATAATGTAGTCATGTTGGAACCATTTCATTAATGCTCGAGTATCTAAATTTTCCTAACATGTCTTGGGAAATCGTTCTCTAAAAGCAATAGAGTGAAAGCGTTCACCCGGTCAGCTTATATCCTCGAAGTTGTATGGTCAAGAAAAGTTGAACAATCCTACACCACCTACACGCTTTTCTTCGGTTTAGAAAAATTCCCATGTACAATTTTGTTTATTTTAATTTACAAAGAGATTTTCTTATTTTTAATTTTACAAAGATAGTTTTAGATGTGACAGTTTCTCATTTCTGATAGCAACGACGATGGAACTTGTTTCCATGGCTAACTAAAGTGAAATTAGTCAAGAAGAGATAAAAATTGACTATAACTCTCTATAATTTTTGAAAATAATACGTAGCAGCTTATATCGCTGCGAAAGCTTAAAAATGGAGCTTTTTTTGAAGTCATGGCCAACTATGGTTTCCATTAAAAAACATATGTTTGTGTCATATGTCAAAAATCACACAGGCTCTAGAAAAAACAGAAAACACAAACTCATTAGGAATGCGATTATCTACAACTTTTATCCCTGAAAACTTTTTTTGTCTAATATAATCCTTTTAGACAAAAATGGAATTAACAATGCAGCTAACACC